AATTTAGTCAAAAGAGACAAACAAGAAAGAATGCCGGGCTTCAAACTTCAGAAAGGTGACAAAGTAAAAATAGAAATACCCAAACGCGACCCATATGAAAATACTATTGACTATGACAACAATGGGAACCCGACAGGTACTCACATTCGTGTTCGTAAAAATAGAAGAAAGTATACAAGAGAATATTATGAAGTTTTAGGCAAACATGGCAAAATGTACACACTGCAAGCAGAAGATAAAACTACTATTGCCAGACCTCGTTTCAAACTTGTCAAAGTTCAAGGTGGTATACTTTCAAAGACAGTTCCTAACAAATATAAGACAACTCCTGACGAATATGCTAAAGAAGTTGAAAATGACGACTAAGCATTTCTATACCATGCGTAAACTGTCATGTAAGGTGGCATGTAGTCTTTACTTTGTCCCGTTGTATGTGTATATCCTGTAACGAAATGTGTATGGATTCCTTCTCCCTGAGTGTCACTCCAGTAACAATTTATAGCAAACTTAACGTTGTCTTTAACATCATATCCTTTACCTTTTGTCATTGCTGACCAATCCCAATATCTATGCTTATGCCAACCTGCTTGAGATGTACTTAAATCTATGTAGTGACTGTGTGCAGGTAAATTTTCACCTGAAATCGTTTTACTTCCACCTGTTTCCTTTGAAGAGTTTGCACAATACAAAAACCTGTCGACTATTTGAGTCCAAGTTCCAAAACCCAGAACTGTTTCTGGTCTGGTAGAGTTCATTGACGTATAAATAGAGCCTATAGGATATAATGTTTGAAGCATTTCTGTCTTTAATGTTTGAAGCTCTGTTTTGTCTGCTTTCTTGTCATATAAATCTTGAGCAGTGAATTTAATATTATGTTCATCCTTCATGACATAAACATCTTTACATCTAATGTTTCTCATCGTCGTTATGTCGTCATCCGATGTTAAACCTTGTGGAAAGTTAGGAGGTTTACAATATAATGCATCCCCACCAGTTTCTTCAACCGTTCCTTCAATACTTTCTATAGCAACAGTTGTGAAGAAATCATGTGTATGGTTCTTGTCTGCTTTCTTCTCTAACTCATCGTTAACATAAGTTTTATCTGCTTTAAGGTCTAAACATCCTGAAACCCATCCTGTATCAGCTTTAGTTTTTAAAATCTTCGATGTCCATTCATGATACCATTCAGCCCTTTCTATAATTTCATTATCTTTTTCATCCACATATTCCTTATCCGCTTTCTTCTCTAACTTACTAGCCACACAATCCTTATCCGCTTTCTTTTCAAGGCTAACGTTTAAGTCTGTTATTTCAGATATAGAATGTATATGAGTCTTTTTAGAATATTCGTTTTCAGCTCTTGTCACTTCACTTGACATTTTATTGTCAACATATGTTTTGTCTGCTAGTTCAGGATGAGTATGTTCTTTTGTTGCATAAGCATTGTTAGCTCTTTCTTCTTCTTTTGCTATTGCATCGTCTACATATTCTTTGTCAGCTTTGTTGTCAACATCTGCTTTCAAAAGAAGTTCATTTATAGGTTTCTCGTTTAAAGTTCCTTTTGTTGGATTTATACAGACAGTATTGTTCTTCTTGTCTTGAAATAGAAACTCATCTGTCATTGGGTTTAATGTCAGTTTTAAGTTTCCTTCTTTCAATGACTCAGATATCTTAGAATAGTTTGAAAAGTTTGTTGTGTTCTTATTTAGAGCTTGCATAATGAGTTGTCGGTTGTGTTGTATTTCTCTCATGGAAGCAATATCTTTCGACATTTTTATTCTAGATAAAATATGCTTCCAATAGAAAAAGAAAATTCAAGAGTTGCTACAACTAAACCATTAGATGAACTTTTTACTAATGTCGGTCAAAAGTTTGAGACAGAGACCGTAAAGCATGAAGGCTATCGTTTTGACTACCCATTAAGATGGCTAAGAGACCCATCTGTCACAAAAGCTATTGGCTTTCGTAGAATGAAGTTCATTTCAGAAGCCATACATGGTTTCCCATTTACGGTCGGTTTTGAAGTTCGATACTATAACAAAGAAAAACGTATGTATGAGAAATTTGAACAGGGAAAACTTTTACAAGTTAGTTTGCTTGTAAACTTAGAAACAACTCTTCAAGCTTTTCAAGAAAAAATAAACGATATCTATATCGAATATGCAAAACAGTATAACATTGACGAAGGAGAGTACCATCTCGATATTATTTATGACAGGAAAAATGCAACTGTTAAAATCAATAAAATAGAAGACCTTGGAGAAAACGTTTATATTTCTACAAAATATAACAACTTGGCATGGTATAGATTTATGAGGATGTTAAATCAGCCTGCAGCATATCCAGTACACCCAGACTTTTATGAAGTCGAAAACCCTAATGGAACATATGAAAATGTTTTCGACCAAGATGCTATTATTGTTCATGCTTCATTTTCTGGTGCGCAAAACTCTTTCTTATGTCTGATGAATGACTTTTACGAAAAACCTACAAAGTTATATGAACCGCCGAGTGGAAGTATTTCAGACTTTCAAGTATGGTTTACTACAGATGGAAGAAAAAGAATAATTCCATTATACCATGCGTTTTACTTAGAACTTAGTTTCATATACAACTACTATCGAACGATAAAAATATAATTTTTTAATACGGTTGAGGTGTTGGATTTGGTTGCCAACTAGACTGTGGTGCAGGTTCAGGCTGTTGTATAACAGGAGCTTGTTCTTCTGGTTCAGGGTCTTTAGGTATAATACCAACAAACTGACCTACCCTTTTACCAATATTTTTGACACCGTTCCAAATTCCTCTTCCTACGGTTTTTATTCCATTCCATATACCTCTTCCAACATTTCGAAAGAAGTTTCCTATCTTACTGAAGAAACCCATTTTACTATATGTAAAAATCTAATGTCCGCCTAGTCTCTTACGTTTCCTGTTGAGTTCCATAGCATTCTTTAACTGGAGCTCATACATTCTGTTTCTCCTCTGGTAGAAAACATATTCTGGGTCAACTCCTGTGTTCGCGTCATCTGCATAAAGTTGTTTATATCCCACTTCAGGGTTTGTATAAAACTCTTTCCATCTCATATTTGCATACCATGGTGGCAAACCTAACGCAGCGTCATTTGACATGGCAGTTTGCATTTGTACATCTGTTGGCACTTGACCATAGTTTGCCATTGCAGTTTGTATTCTAACTTCATTTGGAATATTCTCTGGGTTTGGTTGTCCAGGTTGCTGTGCATTCGCTAAGTTCTGTGCGTCCATTTAATATTAGATAAAAATATCTCTTACGAGTACATATACTGAACATTTGCAGGCATTGGTTCATCTTCATATTCTCTGTACTTTTCTGCCACGTCAAATAAATAAATGACACAATGGAAAAAACCTAAAACAAGTAGTCCTATTTCAAACCACATTTACTTACTAATAAAATTTCTTTGTTATGACACTTTCTCCGGTTTATAGGACCTCTCTCATATTCTATCTTGTCATATCTAAACTCATAGTCATGTATGTCCTCTAACCATCTCATAACGGTTTCCAAACCACTTTTATCGGATGTAAAGTAAAAGCATGGACAGTTATGTAAAACGTCTAAAGTTTCTAAAGAGTCTCTCAAAGTCCAGTCTACTTGGTATTGAAAATCCCATGTGTTATAGAACGGCGGGTCCACTATAAAGAAAACATTTTCCTTGTCTTTATATTTTTCATACAACTCTGTCCAATGACATCTCATAAACTCTATACCCTCAATATATTTTTCTATGTCCTCTTTGAAAACATTTGTATAGTTAAGATATAAAACTTTTGACATAAGTGTTTCAATGTCATGAACTCTTATAGCACCACTATATAATAGTCTAGCAGATATACTATCCCAGTCTATATATTCTGCTTTTTTCAAAACCTCTCTCACAATATTTTTCTTATCTAATGGTATACGTTCCATCTTACCTATAGGTATCTTTTCTTTTAACTCTTTCAATATATTGTTTGTGTCTGGAATATGTTTGAGACGGTCCATATAGTTGTCGAAGTCATTGCATATAATCTTTGAGTCTGGGAATATTGTATGGCACAAATGGGATATATAGAAACTTCCACCGAACAAATCTACAAATGTTAGACCATTCGGTAGTTTCTTAAGTTCTCTCAATATAATATCTTTACATTTACTCTTATTTCCAAAGAACGGTAACGGAGGTTTTGTAAAATTCATTTATATATAATAATAAAAATGTTTTTACCCGAAAAGTGACAGAAAAGTGACAAAACATGAAAACATATATAATTTGTGAAAAGTGAAACATTATATAATGTTTTCGACCCAGAAGAAGGCTTCTTCCCAGAAGCAATGGAGGAAGAAGAAGAGTCCTCCGAATTCACACCAGAAGACTAACAATTTTCCGAATATAAACTTCATTTATACTAAACATCTTCAGGGCTAGAGGGCACGAAGTGCCTGGAGGCCCCACTACCTTTTTTTTTTTTTTTTTTTTTTTTTGCACATATATTAAAAATAATTATTATTCATAAAAGATTAATGAAATAGTAAAAAAAAATCAATCAAATTATAAAAATACAACATATGGTTTTTTATGGTTGTCTCATAATAGCATTTCATGAGAAAAAATATAATACTATTTATTTTTGCATAGTTCAATTTTTTTAAATAATGCAAGATATCCCGCCATTAGTTTTCATGAAATAATCCAAAAATCAGCATACACTTGAGAACATAGCAGCTCTACATGTTTTCGCTATTTATTTTCCAATAATATGAGGGGTTCACGGGATAAAGCTTCATTAAGCATAATTGATTACAATATCATCATATATATACCGAACATATAACAAATGGGATATTTGTATACTAAAATAAAAAAGGAGCAAATTATATAATTTTTGTCATGCTACTTATAGGTTCAAAAATCTTATAATATAAAAATATTTTCAAATACAAAGAAAATATGTGTTTATTTCAAATTTGAAAATTAGATATCTTGTGGGGTCCACTTTCCTCCTCTGTAATCACCTGTAGGGTTATCCTTAGGAAATCTTTTTGCATTTCTTGCCTTGTTGATCTCTTTTCTTGTTTCTGGTGTAGCTTTCTTTTGATTTCTGGATTTATTTTTCTCATATTCAAGTTTTTGGAGTTCGCGGATTGAAGGAGATATTTGGTAATTATTGACACGATTGTATATTTCTTGTTTGCATTTCTCTCCTTCGTTTTTTTGTAAAATTGTAACAGCCGTACGCATTTCAAACGATTTTGCGTTGTTTCCTTTGGGACACTGAGTAAGCATTGAGTGATGTATCGATTCATTTTGTTGTGTTTGAGCATTAGGATCAATTTCTGGAATCAACTTTGCGGCATCATCTGTAAAACGTTGAAATTGCTTCGCTAAATCAGGTTTTGTAAGTGGCTGAAACACAGGATATTCTTTGTCTTTTTCGTGAAGGCAATTTTCATGCCTTCCGATAAAATGATTTAATGTATTCTTCCATAGGAAAATTTTTTTCGTTGTTTCAATTGGAAGCATGATAATAAAAGTGAACCACTTAATAACTTTCGAATATATCTGATGAAATACTTTTTCTTGGTGTTTTAATGGTCTTCCACGTTTCTTCGGCTCTTCTGCTTTAGATTTGATTGGGAATGCTGGCTGTGATTCACTTTCTTTCTGTTGATTAACAGTTTCTTTTCCTGCTGCTTCTTTATATCCACCATTTTCAAGCTTTTCGAAAGCTCTGCCAACTGCACGTACACAATGACGAGGATCAAGTGTAATTTTAGCATTCGGAGCATATTGCTGGATGATGGCTTTCGTTTTATTGTCATTGTCATGAACCACTGTGGAAACATTTGTAAAGTCAAAATTTGACATCATCCTCTTTGTACATTCTGTTTCCATCATGTTGGATGGGCCTTCAAAGTCTCCTCCAGAGCTCTTTTTTATAACAGTTGTTTCACCAACAACTTTTCCACGGTTGTCCATCATTAAACTTTGGCACGCTGTAGCATTTCTGCCAACATTATAATGCGAATCAGTGCTTAAAAATGTATCTTTCTTCATTGTTTGTTGAGCATTTTTAATAGATTGCTCTTTATATTCTAGTATTACCTTACCTATTTCTTTTTGATGACGGTAAAACTCTTTTTCACTCGGCACTTTAATATTGTTATCTTGAAATAAATTCCTTGCTCGAGTATAAGAGTCACCATTAACAATTACAGAAGCAGTCCAGTGTTTTGGATCGACTTCCTTTGGCGCATTCTTTTCTTGGGAGTTTTTTTTGCTTCAATTGATTTTTCGTTAGCTTCACGACTTTGTTGTTTGCGTCTGCTTGGTGGAGGCATATTACGTAAATGGTCGGCAAAAAATGTAATAAACGTAGTGAATAATTAAAAAGATTGCTTTATATAACAAATATAATCATTTTTTCCTTAGAAATCCCATTATTTGCATAACAATATTTAAAAATATTTTTTTGATATAGTTTACAGTCACATCAATATGAACTATATTAAACTATCAGAAACTTATGTATGTTATTAGTAAAGTTGAAATTTTTATCATATTTACACATTAAATTTAATTTTCATGCATATTTAAGTTTTTTTCAACACAATCTTGTATTGTTAGTACCGACAATATGAAAGAAAGTTATACTGTATTTAATTTTAGCAATAAACAAAAAAATCTAAATTATATCTTTAGATACTAGGATTGATTTAATGACTAAGAACGTTTTTATCAATAATACCATGATTCATAACATATAGACATAACCTAAATATACCAAAGCATTTCTACTTGGAACTAGCGCATCGCCAAAATAATGGGTCAATATTCATTTGACGTAATGCTGATCGAGAGAAGTCTTTATATATAAGCCTTATCACAATGCCACGAATGCACCCAGCTGCAGGCGTGTCTTGTTTAACATTCATTCCTATATATGATGGAACATTAATCAATAATCATGGAAGTATCACTTTTCAAATAACATCATTGTTAAATGAAAGAAAATTGTATGCAAAATTACATTTTGGTAATGGTGAGACGCAATATGTTGAAGTATATATCATTATTATTTAATATACAAACAAACTCTAGTACAAAATTGTATTAATTCAACTTTCATGTCTAATATAAAAACTTTTTTTAAAAAAAGAGATATAATCGTGTATAATATGAGAAAAATGAATATCAATACAAAATAAAATATCAATTAGCTATTGCTGATGACATATCATGAATATTGATCATTTGATTTGATTAATTTTGATAAATATTAGGCTTTTTGCTAGTTACATATTACAATAAGGCTTTTAAATGGATATTTATTGATATGAGCTTATTTCAAAATGACAGTCTTTGATTTATCCACTAATAAGATTTGATGTCACAAAAATCTAGATTTTGGGGCATAAAAACCTAACACCAAATCATAACTTCTGTGCATATACTAAATTGAGTACAGAAATATGTTAATTTTCAGTATTTTTAGAAGAATTCTTATTATCCTTCAAAAAGTCAGTATTTCTGCTGTAATTTTCTACAACATTGTAGTTATTGCACTTTGTCTATGGATTTGTATATATGTTATATATAAATTATATATCTAAACTGCCCATAAGTGCAATTTTTATATAAATTGTTTATTTCTTTAACAATTTCATATGAAATATGCTTTTTTAAGCGTATCAAAGCTGTGTTCTTAATGTGCATGGATATATCAAGAAAAATGTCGAAAAAAAATGTGAATTCACAAATTCACTGAATTTTCACCGTTTTTTGAATTTTGCTACAGCACTAATATTAAATAATACTAAAATCTTCTGTCTTTGTAAAAGAATAAATTCTGACAAAAAGTGCTCGTTTAAATTTAATGATCATCTGTATGACTAAGTGGTAAAAAGTGTTTATGACCAAAAAAGGGTTACATGCTTAGTCTATTTTTCTGACAGGATACTCTAGATTTACATGATCTCTATTTCATATCTCCGTTTTTAGATTCTTCGACAGATTTTATGATAGAAAACCAAGATTAACAAATTTCCGGCATGTTAATGAAGAAATCTGCAGCTACCCTCAATATTATTTCAATAATCAGTATCGTTTCTCTTACAATTTATTTTTTTCTCAATAATTTAACAAGAAATAACAATACACACTTGGTTTTACGTATAAAAGCTAAGTGTCGAACTTAATCAACTTTACTTACTTAGCAAATGAATATTTTTGTGGTTGCGAGTTCTGAATGCTGAAGTTTTAGATTTCTCTATAAATGATATCATTGCACTTACAATGTTGTTCCAGCCTATCGCATAAATCATAGAAAATCCAAAAAAAAATAATATAAAGAAAATTCATGTCATGAAGTTCAAAAAATACCGTGTAACATTAAAATTTGTTATGCATAATACATTTTAGCTATTATTGATTTTTTTTAATTTTCGAGAAATTGAATGGTGAGTCCGATAGAGAAATTTTTAAAAATCCTAGTGCCTCATAGAAGTAATTTCCCTCGTCTCCCATACTTCCAAATGTATGCATATGACATAAACTTTTATGCATTACACAAATGGCCAATAATATCTATAGAGTAAAAAATTAGAAATTTAATTTTTTTATATGATAGTTATATTTCAGATTTGCGAGCGTAACTTTTTTCTCCATGGCATACTTGTTTTAAGAGCAAATGATCAAAATCGTCCTTCAATTATTGAAGGAGCTGATATCTTTTGAAAATTGAATTGAAAGGGTATTCAATTTTCAAATTTCCTCTCAATTTTGGAAACATATCAACTCTATGAATTAACAATTATGTGCCTTCACAGTTTATCAGTCATATAAGGTGCTTATAAAGAAAAAAGTTACGCTCGCAAAATATGTTTTTATATAGATTTCACATAAAATAATTATGTAATTTCTAAAAAGAATATTTTTGTTCTTGAATATTAAAGTGTATTGTAGTTTAAAAAGTTTTAAATATGTTGCTAAAATTTCAGGTTTATAGCTCATGTCTAGCATGACTTCTTCGTATGCGCAAAAAATCTGACACGTAAGGGTATCCTTAATAAGGGATATGGAAGACAAAACTAAATTCTATCTTCGTAAAATTGATGATTGATACTGCGGATCATTAATTGAAGTAAAAAGTCCAGTATTTTGTCCATTAAACAAGAAAACTGAAGAAATGAAAACTAAATTTATCTCGGCAATCGTGATAAACCTATTTAGAGGTACTTGTCAGTACAAAGGTCGTGAAAAAATTGTAATTTCGGATTTTAGTAAAGAATATTTTCCGGATATGAACGAAACAAGGATTCGCGACATCATCAGGAACTTTGCAAAGCCTGTTAAACAGCATGGAATCAGTTTTTGGGTTCCAAAACCTGATTTAGATCGTTTATTTTCAGGATTATATATCTATCCTGAAGATGTTTGCTCTTATCAATCAATGCTTGCAGGATTGAAGAAACTAAGACGTAATGGTGTTCATTTCCTTGTAAAAAGCAAGAATATCTATAGACATATCCAAAGTTTAGAAGGAGATTTGACAAAACAAATTGCAGAAAGGATTGAACTCGAATTATTGAGAACACCATGGTCGAGAACAGAAAACTTTGCCAGTGTTTATGATCTTGTTGAAAAAGACCCCAAAACAAAAAAGGTCAGATGATAAAGATCTCAACAGAAAACTTAGAGAAAAAGGAGTTTCTGATGAAGAAATATCAAAATTAGACAAGACAGGTAAAGAAAAATTGCTAAAAAAGAAATCGAATGAGAAGAAACAAGGCACATCCAGTGATTTAAGAGGTAAAACAATGGCTGATCTCGATAGGTTACTGAGAGAAAAAGGAATTACTGAAGATCAACTTTCGAGATTAAGTAGATGGGACAAAGTTAAGCTTTTGCGGGAAATTATTAACAATGAGAAAGAAAAAGGAGTTGATAATGAAGAAACAAGGAGATACGCAAGAGATCTTCAATCTAAAGCGAAAGCACAGAAAGAAAACTACAAAAAAATATATGAAGAAACATTCAAAACAAATTATATGTTTATTAGTTCATCGAATACTTCTTTAGAATCAAATGAAAACGTTGAATTTTCTCTTGAAATGGCACGTGATTTAGAATCTGATTCTGATGATTCTAATGACGATGATGAAAACGATTCAACTACTGAAAATGAACAAACGAATAAAGAAACTAATGATCCGAAAGAACTTGTTAAAAATGGGGTTTGTACTTCTCATTTCAATGTGGATTGGAATGAATTAGGTTTCGGAAATTATCCACAAAGAAAAGTTCTCAAAATTATCAACATTTCTTATAACGACAAAAAGTTAAATGTTAGTGTTGAATGGGAAAGACAACCTCATATATTACAGAAGTTTGAGAAATTAGATAGTTTTGTTAATAATCGAATCAACATCGCAAGAGATGATTTGGATACTTATGTATTGAAAGCACAGATGAAATCTCTCAAAAATCTGCAGAGAAGAATTAGAAGTCAGCATAAAAATGGAGGTGTTGTTGATAAATTTCTTTTATTCGAACACTCGGCAATGTTAGTTCAAAATCCAAATGGAACTCTGAACTTCATTTTGGATCCAGAAATCATCAGGAAAATCGAATCTTCTTCCAGAGCATTCGATAAATTCAATAAAAGCAACAGGCCACCAGAAAAAAGATCTGAAGAAAAGACAAAACAGAAGAAGAAAGCAAAACCTACTCGAACTGCTGATAAATAAGAATCAATTAATTGTATTTACTTATGTTAGTGATTGTTTAATAAAAATTTTATATTTTTATATAAACTAAAGAATATATAATATATTTATAATGAGATTTGTATTCAATTTCCAAAAAAAAAATGTAATTATTGTTTTTCCGCTGAACTATTCATGAATTTGTAATACTATCCCTTCAAATGGTATATCCGAGTGTTAAACTTTGAAATTATAGGCATTTAATAAAATGAAAATGAAACACTCGTATTCTATTCAAAATCCCAATCAAATTCGGAATAACATTGTAAGGGATAGTTGTTTTTTAATTTTTTAGGCTAAGTGTAGTTGAGAATCTGAAATTGATTGATCCATCTTGGAGTTGCGCTTTAAAAATATAATAGCTGGCTCTGTTATCCAGTGTAGATTCAAAATAACTGGAGAAGAATCAAAGATTTTGTTACACTCAAAAGATTGCGGTTTTATTCGATTTTGAAAGAAAAATTGAATTTAGGTTGGAGAAATTTGGTGATAAAATAAAGTTTTATCAATTACTACATATAAAGATAATATTTAGTGATCTTCTGGATTGTAAACCTGTTTGCGGGTAATTCTGCCTGCGTGGAGGAGTGTTGTGTTGAAAACTTGGACATCATGAGATTCGAAGTACCATGTGCCCTTGAGATGTGACCAGCCATCGTTAAGATCGTTTGTGGCGTTGTAGATAACCTGATGGATGTACTCGTTTGTGGAGAGTGGAGCGTGTTCCCAGTCATCACCTACACGGTTGACATCGTGGCAAATGATTGGGTGCTTTGGATCCTGCCAGTGGTCGCAGGCATATCTTGGACCCTTGGCTGGGACTGTGCCATCACCGCCTGTGTATGTGTACTGTGGATCATCGTAGCCCTTACGATAATCGACTGTGTATGTTGTGTCAACGCCGGAGTTGTAAAGCATGTATGTCTTTACACCGAGTGGCTTTGGTTCTCTCTGGACCCACTTGAGGTTCTTCTTAAAGATTTTGCGAGCGCCGTCATTGTACTTACCGTGGGAAAGGTAGAACTCTGGGAGTTGTGGAGCCTTGATTTCTTCGCCTTTATCTGTGATGATGATGGTGTCATTTTGGAAGACATAGTGGTTCGGGAAGAGGCCATTAAGAACTGGCATGTTCTCGACTGCCTGGCGAAGGATATCGTTCTTGATGAATGGAACGATTGGGAAGTACTGGTTGTAGGCAACATCGATTGTGTTGGAGGAGCCGCCGAAAGCTGGAGCGAGCATGATGACCTTATGGATGTATTTATCCTTCCATTTTTGGGTAAGTTCCCAAGCTGTTAAGAAGTTCTGGAGGCAGAGGCCACCGCAAGAGTAGCCAAGAACGACAACAGCCTTGCGATCATTCTTTTCATAAGCCTCTTCAATAAGAGCCTTAAGTTGTGGGAAGAAGGTGGAACGAAGAGCATCCATAGCAAGGCGCCAGTCATATGGGACACCGAAAAGGTCCTTCTTAACTGTGTAGCCCTTTGCCTTGAGATACTCAAGCATTGGAGCGAAAGATTCGATGAAGTGGAAACCAAAAACGCCTTTGTCAACGTATTTGATACCGGCTTCACCACCGAAATCATCAACTTCAACTTGCATGCCTGGAGCGGAGCCAATTGTGTCGGTTTCTGGATAATAGTGTGCTGTTAACATTTCGAATAAACAGTTCCATGTTGGTGGGATAATGTACTTGAGATTAACCCAGAAGATATCGTGGTCTTGCTTCTTTGGGCAATACCAGTGTTTTGCGAAATTATCGTATGTAGCAAAAAGATTTGAGCCATAGATACCTGGCAAAAGAAGAATTGGTCTAAGGCTTGTGGCCTGAGCGAAGAGGCAAGCAAGCATTTACTAGATGGCGGTTTATCACAAAATTAAGAGCTATCAAACAAAAAATCATCAAGAAATATTTGTTTATAGATATATAGTATTATGGCAAAATGTCATAAGGAAACTTTTTCTATACTTGATAAATTTGTAAAGTCTCAAATCCAATCAGTAATATGTTTTTATATCAATATCTGAACTAAGATTTCTTTTTATCGTATTAATTAATTTCTAATTGAAAAATAATTATATATTTAAAAATGTTTATAATGATAAATCGGGCCTAATTAGTAAAGTGATTCGGTTCTCAAAAGTTTAGTATTTGAGAACAATTTCAATTTTTTCATAGAAAAATTTAATTTTAATATTCGTTAGTTCCGAACATAAATTAAAGGATTTTGATGAACTAATAAAGAGCTATTCAGAATAATCATTTTTAAAAAAGTGTGCATCTGGCCAAAACGTTTTTCTCAATTTTTTTAATTCGATAGACTTTTCCCGATCAGTTTTCTAATCTAAATAAGTTAAAATTGGATTATAAAATATGACCAAATATGTATTTCTAATGTTAAGAAGTATAGTCATTAAGTTTTTGCTTTTATAACTCAAAATGATCTAGGATCATCAATTGAATCTAATTATTTGGTAGTAAATGTTCATGCATGTGCATCTATTCTCTAAAATCTATGGCATTGTTCCTGGTGTGAGAAACTGGATCAATCATAAAAAAAATATTAAAGATTATGATATTAACATTTATAAATAGTGGAATCTAATGAGTAAATCTTAAAAATTTGAAAGTTTGATGTCATTGATTGAACATATTTCTTTTATAACAAATATGAATTCTTAAATTAGTAGAAATAAGAAAAAAGAGTGACCAAAATCATTTATGAGTTCATAAATAAATTCTAAAATGTGAAAGGTTTCGTAGCTCAGTAGGTAGAGCGTAGTGCTGATAACGCTAAGGTCTTGGGTTCGAGCCCCAGCGGAACCATTTTTCTTCAATTTGATTTTTTCAACTCAAATGATACTAGAAGATAATCATTTGTGTTCAATTTTAAATTAACAAAGTTTACACAATAAATTTATTTTTATATATACAACAAACAAATTTAAAATATTATTTGGTTAGAATGTTCATGATATCAGTAATTATCTTCTTCATTGGATCTGTTTCAAATCCAACTCTAAGCAATTCAGCCAATGCTGGGAAAACAACAACCTTTGTCTCAACATCAATAATAGATTTCATCAAATCATTAAAGAATTCTTTTGGTTCATCATGTAATTCTTCACTGAATCTCATTTCGCAGTATTTTTGTGCCCTCTCAGTATCTCTTCCGATATAAGAATATCTACTCAAAGCGGCCATAAGAACAGCTGCATTTGATGATCCGATCACTTCGCTTTTATCTGAATCATCCAATTTTGTCAAAAGGTCCATAAATGACATGATTTTTCTTGTTTCTAAATTGGAGATTAAATTACACAAAGCGAATACTTTGACTGATACCTGAAGATCATCTGCTTCAAATGGATTCGAATACAAGCAAAGGAAATGACAATAAAGAGCAGCTTTTTCTGTTGGCGTCATTTTAGAAACAGCATTGAAAGAATGCATCAAAAAGAAACAGAAATGTAAATGATCAAATGAAAGTCTCCAGTTCCTAAATCCATTATTATTAGTAAATGATCTAACTTTTTGTATAAAATCACAAAAAGTCTTTCTGTCGCATCCGAAAAACTCCAAAACTTCAAAATCAGAAGCAATGTCAACCAAAACATTGACAATTTGTGTATCATCCAAAACTCTTTGATCAAAACTATGTGTCAAGTACAAAATAGTTGCTGTTGGCTTAACATAATTCGACTGTCGTTCGGAAACTTCCATTTTTACAAGATTTTTGCATTTAAATCCTGCAGAAAAAATTCTACTCATAAGATTTCCTTCATCAATTGAAAGAATGTCATCATTATAGATTGGTTTGTGACCAGTGATACTTGATATTGCGCTGATGAATTTCCTGTTGAATTCAGGAGGGAAGTCATTGTAATTCATCGAAAATCGAATTAAAGTGTCACTTTTTATATGATTTTCTCTCAAATTTTTATCCATTTCTACAAATTTTGAGAGCAATTTTGAGTAACTTTCAACAACAGCTCTTGTTCTTCTTGGTACCATTGTAGAGAATTGAGCGAGCTGGTGCTGTGCTAAACCAGATAATTCTTTAACAACTTTTGCATTCGAAATTTGTTTCAACATTAAATTTGTTCTCAAAAATGAAGCTCCCAAATTTCTTTCTTGTTTTGGTTGTTTTGATGACTTGAGAACTAAGATTCCTACAACTCTATCTGATGAATCAATCAAAGGAGAGTATACTTGTGGTGAAGAAGAGCAAATTGACAATGATCTCGTCAACATAAATCTCATTGTTGGATTTGAATCTCTTGAATTAATTGGTCTCGATATTCTTCCATCAATTCCTAATCCGTCCAATCTCCAATGCTTGTAGTCAGCAATATGTGTGCTCAGAATATCATAATCTAATAATTCTTTCGTGTTTTCCGTCAAATTAGTTGTGATTTCTTCAATATCTGTCACTTTTTGAACTTTTGACACAAATTTTTGTTTCATTCTCATCTCTTTGACTTCTGTCGTTGTGTCTCTAAGTTTTTCGTTCATTTTGGCTGTCAATAGAACGTTCTTCGCAAGGGAAACGAAAAATTCTGCAAAAATTTCCGCTCTGAATTGATCTTTTTCTGAAAAACCGTTTGTACGTTTTTTATTATAAAAAACCAACAGCCATTTGACTCTTTTGCTGCTATCCAGTGTGAAGACTGGTACAGACATCATTGATTTCGATTTTATCGATCGCTCAGCTCTGTCGACTCTTCTGTCAAATTCTGACAAAAGTTCAGGATTTTCAAAAATTTTTGTTTTTTGATGCAAAAAAGAGGAAGAACACAAACCAGTAGAAAGAGGAGTGATTACATTGTCTTCCTTCGACATTCCGTATTTCGTCATTGAATTTCTGTTTCTCCTAATCCTGATCAATTTCACAGCTTCGCATTCGAAAGAAGATTCAAGATTTCTTGTTAAAAGTTGTAAAAAACTCCTCATGTCACCAATTGATGATAATTTGATGAGTTCGTCATTCATTAGTTGATAATCTGCTAAGTATGAGAGATGCTGCTCACGAATATCAACAAGAGATTTAGTATGTTTCAGGATTTCAATTATATTTGAAATTAATAAGTCTTTTGAAGCAGTTACGACTTCTTCCGTATCATATAATATTATAACATTTGATAGTTCTGGTATGGGAACAACCCAAATATTATCAGAACGACCTAAAATTGCAAAATCATCTGATCCTGCATTTTTTGAGAGTTTCTGTATGAAATAACGCTTTCCTGTCTCTGCTGCATCTTTTATTAATCCTTTATCAAGTGAATAATTCATTGTAAGTCGTTGTTTGTTTACGGATATTTGAGATGCTTTTTTATTGTAATTAAATAAGATAGCTCTCTTGAATTTAAATATACTTGCTAACTCTGAACCAATTTTCTCACTAAAGTCAAGGTAATTTGCTGAACTCAAGAAGTTATTGTAATAATTAAAATAATTTGATGCTGAATTGATTTCTACAAATAAATTCGTATAAAAATTGTTTCTTTTATCTGTTAAGAATTGTTGAATTGTTTCACCTGTCTTGTTTGAGTCTAAATTGAAAGCTGGATCTAATAATGTAGCGGATGCATATGGATGATGTGTTAAGAATTCTTTGAAATCGTTTTCTTCCTTCAAAACTGAAGAGTATTTATCTGTTTGTTCAGATGTATATTGTTCATATTCATCTGAAAGATTTTTTTCTGGATCTTTTTTAGTTTTATGTCTTAAATCGGAATCTTTTATGTTTAATCGCTCTATCACTAAAAATTGTTGATCAATTAAGTTTTTTAATTGAATAATTTCTTCTTTTTCTCGAATTATTCTTCTATTATAATACTGTTCGATTGATTGAAGAGTGGCAACTCTTTCACCATCCACATTTTGTGTAAAATGTGTCATTAAATTGGGTAATTGCCATTCAGTCATTCAATAAAAAAAAACGTGCATTTCATCAAATTTAGTTCAATACTAATTATGATATATTATCTCAAATCAATTAAAAATGCATCTAAAACGCTCTTTTTGGGTTCATTTTTCATGATCAAATTCCTCATCCACTCATTTGATCATTTTGTTGATAGGTATCCTGAATGAATTTAGCCGATGATATCCATATGGTATGAGGATAACTCCAAAGTATCAGATCCCAATGCAATTAACAAATCGGGCAACGTCTACACCCTCAAATATCCATGCTTATCCTCTGATTGCACTCCATATAGGATATTCCTCAAGCCAGGTATGTACAAGATTGAACTTTAGGGAGCTTCGGGTGGATTCATTGGCACCGAAGGTGGCCGTGGTTCATATACCAGTGGCACTCTCCCAATTTTTCGTCCACAGCCATTTTATATATACCTTGGCCAAAAAGGAGAATGGTCAGGTCCCTCCACATATAATGGAGGCGGTGCAGGAACTACAGGCGTAAAAGAACGTTACAATGAAGATTATTATGTATCTGGTGGTGCAGGTGGTGGAGCAAGCGATATCCGCCTCACCAAAGGTGACTGGAACAATTTTGAAAGTTTGAAATCTCGAATTACCGTTGCTGCTGGCGGTGCCGGCTTTGCAAAGTATCATATCACCATAGAAGGTGGTGCCGGTGGAGTTTTGGAAGGCTATAATGGCACCATTCACTTAGAAACTGATAAAATTATGATTTCTCTATCGACTGGAGGAACTCAAACCTCAGGCGGCCTCGGTTCAAATTACACTGGATATTACGGTGGATTTGGGTACGGAGGAGATTGCCGTAACCCGTACCACGGTAGTGGTGGTGGCTCTGGCTACTACGGTGGTGGAAGCGGTGGTATGGCATCTAGCCAAGTTACAAGTGGTTCGGGAGGTTCTTCGTACGTTTCAGGTTACAAAGGATGCAGAGCCATCGCACGAAGATCCACCGAAAATAATATTGATCATGAAGATAGCTCTATCCATTATTCGGGAATAACCTTTTACCACCCAGAGATCTTAGATGGAAAGGCAGAAATTCCATGTCCAGACCCAGCTAGTTCAAATTCATGCACAGAAAGAGGTCATTATGGTAATGGATATGCTCGCATTACTGTACTTGAGCAGCATGATCCTATAACTATAATGCAGTGTAGTCCAATGCTATATTATGCATCAATAGCTATGTTCAATTTGATTATTATCTCATAAAATGATTTTATTATATTTTACAACTATTATAAAATAATAAAACAATTTTGTAATTATTTTGGATTCCTGATATTTCAGAGATTTTCAACTATGGCTTTGTTAAAATATGAAGGACGGAGCCGATTGTTCTCTTGTGTTAAAATCATTTTGAAAGATCTTCAATCGAAAATTAATCAAAATTCTAAAAGATCGATTTATAGCATTAAGTGATGATTGGAATGATCTAGCCCAATAATGTATGACGTTTATAAACCTGAAACATCGAGATTAATAAAAAAAATACAAAAAAATATTGAATTCCATATAATATACCAATGTATCTCTTTATTAACACCGATAAATAAATATATAACATATTATAACGTTTCGGGCTTACAAACTCGCAACATCTTCATCAGATTTCTTATCATTATCTAAGTTTGGCATGTCATTATTATCAAGCGACTCTGGTTTATCAGAATATTGCTGGAGGAAAGCTGGGAGAGAAACGAAGATGCATGATCCAATAGCGTTACCGATAGAAACGATGATAAGATTTAAGATTGTAGCCTTCCATGTCATGTTCTTGATGCCATCCTTCTGCATGAGACCATTAGAAAGGCAGAACCAGTTAGCCATGCAGTGTTCAAGGCCGAGAGTGGAGAAGTTACCAATAGCAAGGAAGACAGCAAGGCATTTGCCGCAATATGAGGTTGTCATGTTGGCCATGAAGGTAGCAATTGAAACGAGGGCATTGCAGATCATTGCCTTAGCAAACATGTTTCCATAGTTCATATGTGTCTTCTTGTAGCAGTAAAGAGCAACTTTTTGGCCGACCCAGTTATCATATGGGTTGCTGGAGAGTCCTGTTGCCCAACCTGTGAAGAAAGCACCGAATATGCATCCAAGAGCATTGAAAATGTATGTCATACCAAGAGCATAAATGAGTTTACCAGCTGGAGCACGTCTGTTGAGAGCGCAAAGAACAACTGGAACAAGATCGCCTGTGAAAAGATAGCAATTCAAGAAAAGAATGTAGTCGAGACCAATGGCGAAGCAAAGGGCGAACATAATTGTTTGTCCAGATTCAATTGTGGCAACAACACCAAACAAGAAAGAGAAAGAAATGAATACACCAGAAAGGAAGGAACGGACTATGAAGTTGTATGTTGGTTGGTTGCAGCGGGTAACACCAGCCAGTGTAAGCTTTTCGCAAATCTCTGAGTAGGATACAAGATCACCCATTTTAAATAATAAATTGTATCAATTTTATCATGGGTTTTATTTTGAAAAACCTACATAAAAAATTCAATGTCATCAAGAATTCCTTCGTAATTATATTCTTTGTATAAATTCAAGACGTTTTTTCTTTTTTGTTCACGATAAAATTGTGAGAGAACAATCGCTCTGAAATTTTTCTGAAGATGAGATTTTTATAATTTAATGTACAATGTCTATATAATAATATTTTGTGATGACCAATTATTTTGAAAGGGATAAATTCACGGGTTTGATGAATATTGACAAAATCTCCAACAACAAAAAATTCTCATCATCTATACATATCTATTCAGTTAATGAAAAATTAACGATAAATATGGTTTTATCAAACAAATTTATACCCCATCACGTGACCTCCGATAAATTTCAAGTGTACATATACTGCTGTGTCTAAATCCCGCAGAACTGTATTAATTATCGAAATTGAATGCAATCGTAAAATCAGTTTAATTTGAATGGCTAGTTTTCTATAGTTTTATGGGTTTTGGTTCTGGTCATAAAAACATGAAGAATCCAAATCAAACTCCAAAATTCTAGTGTTATGATATTTAATCAAAATGGAATATATTTTAACTAGAGATATCAAGAAAGGAGAAAAAACGAAAATATTAATAGAATCTTATTGTCATTTTCGATTCTCTAATTGTTATTTTATTATAAATGAAATATACTAATACAATCATGCGGTATTTAAGAAAAATCAAACAAATTTTAATTAATTTTCTATTTGGCCCGGATAGCAAAGAATATAGATATAGAGATGCAAACAACAATATTGCAAATAGTAAAATTGCTCAAATTTATGAAATTGAATGTAAATTCATATTTGGTCATAACAAAATTTTCTAGTCGGAAGTTGTTTTCAAGTCTCCATTTCAACTAATCGAAAATAATGAGATATTGCGTTATTTACCTCTAATTAAACGACTAATTGAATCTTCCCTTATGTGAATTATTGGTATTTCATAATTTTGTTACCATAAAATGAGCATAAATAGAAAATTATGTATATACTAATTACATGTTGAATAAAAATTACCCCATCAACAAATAAAATCTGAAAAATCATTAGAGGAATATGAAATTTTTGAGTGAAATATAATATGCCTATTAACATCTGTGTATTTTATAAATATAAAAACATGTCTTTTTATGAAATAATAAAAAAAATATTATAAACATTTTAGAAATATCCTGAGCTACTCTCATGGTTATCATCACCAGGTCTTATTGTTCCCATTAGTTGATCTTTCAATGCTCCGCTAACAACTTCACTTGAAGCTTCTTCCTTTGATTTTTCTTTATTTTCTTCATCTTTATCATCATCACTGTCATCAAAATCTAATTCTATACTTTCACTATCTGATTCTACTTTCTCTTTCTTTTCTTCCTCTTCCTTTGGCTTTTCTTCATCTTTCTTTTCTTCATTATCATCAGATTTCTTTTCTTCATTTTCTGGTTTATCTTCTTCTTTCTTTTCTTCATCTTTGTTTTTGTCATCAGATACTTTTTCTTCATTTATGTTAATTTCTCGTGTTTGTACTGGAGTTTCTTCTTCCTTATTTTCTTCTTCTGGCTTTTGTTCATCATCGGATTTCTTCTCTTCTACTTTTTCTTCATCAGATTTATCACTCTCGATCTTTATATCTTCATCTTCTGACTTTTTCTCTTCTTCAGGTTTCTTTTCTTCATCTGACTTCTTTTCATCGGCTTTAACTTCTTCTTCTGATTTGTGATCTTCTGTTTCCTTCTTTTCTTCATCAGATTTATCGCTTTCTATCGTTATGTCTCCGCCTTCTTCTTTCTTTTCTTCGTCAGATTTCTTTTCATCAACTTTTTCTTCATCATCTGATTTGTGATCTTTATTTTCTTCATCAGATTTATCGCTTTCTATTGTTATGTCTCCGCCTTCTGACTTCTTTTCTTCTTCAAGATTTATTTCTCTTGTTGCTACTGGAGCTTCATCTTCTTCTTTCTTTTCTTCGTCAGATTTCTTTTCATCAACTTTTTCTTCATCATCTGATTTGTGATCTTTATTTTCTTCATCAGATTTATCGCTTTCTATTGTTATGTCTCCGCCTTCTGACTTCTTTTCTTCAGCTTTTTCTTCGTCTGGTTTCTTTTCGTCATCAGAAAAATCAATTTCGATGTCTGAATCAGATTTCTTTTCTTCTTCCTTTTCTTTGTTTTCTTCCTCTTCTTTGACTTCACGAGTTTTAGTTTCTTCTCCTTTTTGTTCAGGTTCTACATCAGAATTGTATCTGAGAACAATTGCGCCATTGTTTTCTTCAACGTTGACGCCTGATCCATCAAGATCTGCAAATTGTTGCTTTGCCTTTTCACTCCTCTCCTTCTTTTCGCTTTGTTTTCTTGCAGAAACTGGTCTGCTGTCTTGGTCTGATTTAAGTTCGTCGAATGAGATTTCATCCTTTCCTTTCAATGGATCATTTGTTTTATCATCATTGTTTTCATTCTGATCTTCAATTGCATAATTAGATCCTCCTGTTGCATTGAGTGTTGATTCTTTTTCGTCTTTATCTGATTTGAGTTCTTCAAATGAAGCTTCTTCTTCTGGTTTGGCTTCATCTTCTTTAGGAACTTCTCTTGTCTTTACCTCTTCATTCTCTGGTTCTTTCTCTTCATTTTCCTTCTTTTCTTCTTCATGATCAGATTTCCTTTCTTCATTATCTGACTTCTTCTCTTCTTCTGGTTTCTTTTCTTCATCATCAGATTTGTCTGAGTCAATCTTAATGTCTTCATCATCTGATTTCTTTTCTTCTTCTGGTTTCTTTTCGTCCTCCGATTTATCGGATTCGATCTTTACATCTTCATCTGATTTTTCATCTTTCTTTTCTTCGTCTGACTTCTTTTCTTCTTCTGGATGAACCTCATTGAGATCGATTTCTTTTGTTTGAGCTTGAGGATTCTCTTCTTCCTTCTTTTCTTCATCAGATTTGTCGCTTTCAATCTTAATATCTTCATCATCTGATTTCTTTTCTTCTTTGTTTTCTTCCTCTGGCTTCTTCTCTTCTTCTGATTTATCTGATTCTATTTTAACATCTTCTTCATCAGATTTCTTCTCTTCCTCTGGTTTCTTTTCTTCTTCAGATTTATCAGACTCAATCTTAACATCTTCATCTGATTTTTCTTCCTTCTTCTCTTCATCTGACTTCTTTTCTTCTTCTGGTTTTGTATCATTGAGATCAATTTCTCTTGTTTCAACTGGAGGATTTTCTTCTTCTTTCTTTTCTTCTTCTTCTGGTTTCTTTTCTTCCTCAGCTGGTTTCTCTTCTTCATCAGATTTCTCGATTTTGATTTCCTTATCAGATTTTTCTTCTTTCTTTTCTTCTTCTGATTTCTTGTCATCAGACTCGAAATCATCAGATTTCTTTTCTTCAACAGGTTTCTCTTCTTCTTTCTTTTCTTCTTCTTGTAGTTTCTCTTCCTTGTTTTCTTCAACTGGTTGTGTTTCTTCTTCGATCTTTATTTCTCTATCTTTGACTTCTTCATCAGATTTCTTTTCTTCTTCTGGCTTTTCTTCAGCCTTCTTGTCGTCGTCTGAGTCGAAATCAAGGAATTCGGAATCATCTGATGACTTCTTTGGTTCTTCCTTCTTTTCTTCTTCTGGTTTCTTCTCTTCTTCAACCTTTGGCTCTTCTTCTTTATGTTCTTCATCAGAATCTTTCTTTTCTTCTTCTACTTGTTTTTCTTCTGGTTTTGATTCTTCTACTGGTTGGTTTTCTTCTTCAATCTGAACATCTCTGTCTTTAACTTCTTCAGGTTTCTCTTCATTTGTTTCTTGAGGTTCTTCTGGTTTAGCTTCTTCCTTCTTTTCTTCCTCTTCTGGTTTCTTTTCTTCTTCTTTCTCTTCAGCCTTCTTGTCGTCATCTGAATCGAAATCAAGGAATTCTGAGTCATCCGATGACTGCTTTGGTTCTTCTTTCTTCTCTTCTTCCTCTGGTTTCTTTTCTTCTGGTTCTTCGGCTGGTTTGTTCTCTTCTTGTTCGACGTCGTTTTGGAGATCGATATCTCTAGATTTAACTTCTGATGGAGCTTCAGATTTGTTTTCATTTGCAGCTTGATCTTCCTCGATCTTCTTTTCTGCATTTTCATCATCTGATTTATCAGATTCGATCTTAATATCATCATCGAAATCACTGTCGGACTTGATTGCATCGATATCATTGTTTTCTTCTTCTGGTTTCTTCTCTTCTTCAGAAGATTTTTCAACTTTGATTTCTTCGTCAGATTTCTTTTCTTCAGTTGGTTTTTCTTCTTCTGATTTCTTCTCTTCAACTTGTTTCTCTTCCTCAGAAGATTTCTCAATCTTAATCTCTTCATCTGACTTCTTTTCTTCTTCTGGTTTCTTCTCTTCCTCAGAAGATTTCTCGACTTTGATTTCTTCGTCAGATTTCTTTTCTTCTTCTGGTTTCTTTTCTTCATCCTGTTTCTCTTCCTCAGAAGATTTCTCAATCTTAATTTCTTCGTCAGATTTCTTTTCTTCAGTTGGTTTTTCTTCTTCTGATTTCTTCTCTTCTTCGAGATTGATTTCTCTAGTTTCTACTGGGAGAGTTTCACCTTTATCCTTCTTTTCTTCTTCCTCTTTATGTTCTTCTTGTTTGTTTTCTTCGTCAGAAGATTTGTGTTCTTCTTTCTTCTCCTCTTCTTCCTTGTGTTCTTCTGGTTTAATTTCTTCTTTCTTTTCTTCCTCTTCTGGCTTCTTTTCTTCTTCAATGTTGACCTCTCTTGTTTCTGCTGGTTTTTCATCTTCAGAATCGAAGTCGAGATCGACAGAATTGTCACTTTCTTCTTTGGATTTTTCTTGTGGTTTTTCTTCTTTCTTTTGTTCAACATCTGATTCGAAGTCACCCAAAGAACTTGATTCTTCCTTCTTTTCTTCTTCTTTAGGCTTTTCTTCCTCCTGAGGTTTCTCTTCTTCCTTTGGTTTCTGTTCTTCATTGTCAGATGAATCCAAATTGAGGTCATCGAAATCAGAATCTTCATCTTTCTTTTTCTCTTCTTCTGGCTTTTGTTCTTCTTTATTTTCTTCATCAGGTTTCTTCTCTTCTTTGTTTTCATCATCTTCTTTGATGGAAACATCATCGAAGTCACTTGATTCAGCCTTCTTTTCTTGTTCTTCTTGTTTTTCTTCTTCTTTGTTTTCTTGTTCTAAATCAATGTCTCTTGTTCTTGTTGTATCAGTGTTATTTAAGAGATTCTCTTGAGACTTATAATGGAGAATGAAAACATCGTTTCTTTCTTCGACATGAACATCATTAATACCAGAACCAACAAGTTGACTAAGTTCCTCTTTAGACTTTCTCTTCATTTCATCCCTCTTTCGTTTTTCTTCTTCAAGTCTCTTCTTTTCTTCCTCTTCTTCTTGTTTTCTCTTTTCTTCTTCTAATCTTTGTTTTTCCTCTTCTTCTTGCTTTCGCTTCTCTTCTTCAATTCTCTTTTGTTCTTCCTCTTCTTGTTTTCTCTTTTCTTCTTCAAGTCTCTTTTGTTCTTCCTCTTCTTGTTTTCTTTTCTCTTCTTCCTCTTGCTTCTTCTTTTCTTCTTCAAGTCTTTGCTTCTCGGCTTCTTCCTCTTCTTTACGTTTCTGTTCTTCTTCTTCTTGTTTACGCTTCTCTTCTTCAAGTCTCTTTTGTTCTTCTTCTTCCTGTTTCTTCTTTTCTTCCTCTTCTTGCTTTTGTTTTTCATCTTCTTTTTCGTTGTCGCTGAATGAATCTAACGCGAATGAATCGACAGAACTCTCTTTCTTGATTTCTTCTTTCTTTTCTTGTTCTGATTCTGATTTCTTCTTTTCCGATTCGGATTCGGATTTATCAGATTCAGATTTCTTCTTTTCTGATTCAGAATCGGATTTTTCGGAATCAGATTTCTTCTTTTCTGACTCAGAATCGGATTTTTCGGAATCAGATTTCTTCTTTTCTTCTTCTTTGTTTTCTGATTTTTCTTTTTCTGATTCAGAATCACCGAATTCTTCGAAATCTGAAGAATCCGATTTCTTCTTTTCTTCTTCTTGTTTTTCTGGAGCTTTTTCAGGAGATTTATCTTCAGCTTCTTCGAAATCATCTTGGGTTATCTCTCTTGAAGCAACTTTATTTGGAGAAGCAAAGGCATCAGACAAGAATGAAGTACTTTCTTGTTTCTTCTTATCATTCTGTTCGAGAGCTGATTTAATGATACTACTAATTGAGTGATTTTCATCTCCAGCTTCTGTTTCTTTCTTTTCTTGTTCTTCTTGTATTCTTCTGAGTTCTGCTTCTTTCTCTTCCGCTTGTCTTCTGAGTTCTGCTGCTTCTTCTTCCTGTTGTTTCTTCTGTCTTTCGAGTTCTTCGAGCTCTTGTTGTTCTTTGAGTTCTTGAAGTTCTTTTTGACGACGAAGTTCTTCTTGTCTTCTCTCTTCCTCTTCTTGTTTCTTCCTTTTCTCTTCGTTCTGGCGCATTTCTTCTTCTCGTTTCTTCTGGCGTTCTTCCTTTTCGCGCTCAAGTTTTTCAAGTTGCTCTTGCTCGAGTTTCTTCCTTTCTTCCTCGAGTTTTTGTTGTCTTTCCTTTTCTTCCTCTTCTTTCTTCTTTTTCTCTTCTTCTTGGCGCTTCTTTTCAGCTTCTGCTTCTTCCTGGCGTTTAAGCGCTTCAGCTTGTTTGCGCTGCTCTTCGAGACGCTTTTGCTTGAGTGCATTCTCTCTTTCCTCGAAATCTGAATCGTCTGTCAAGAAATCTTTGGCTGGAGGAAGTTGGCGTTGGTAATTAAGCTCATCCGGTTGATCCCAGGATACAGTAATCTTTTCACTACCAAGATTTGTATTGTTCATCTGGATAATTGCATCTTCTGCGTTTTCTTTCTTATTGAATTTAAGAATTGCAACGTGATTCTTAACTTCTATGTCGCTGATGTCGAATTTCTGGAATGCAAGCATAAGATCGCCTGTAATGCAGTCTTGTGGTATTGGGTAAGCGTAAGCAATAAATTGAGCAGATTGTTTAGGTTCGGATGGAGGTCTAACGGTATCATTAAGCTTATGTAATTCTCTCGTAAATGTGACTTGATCACGTAATGCGCGAACTTCTTGTTGCTGCTCTGCAATTTGTTGAATAAATTTTTGAGTACGATGATGATAATGTTTCTCCTTGACTTTGAGGATTTCTTCGTATTTTTGAGCTTTCTCGTCTGGTGGTGTTTCGAGGAAATGAATTTGTTCGCCTTCCTTTGCATTACGAACTGCTTCGAGGTCTTTCTTTAAACGATTGTATTTCGCAAATTGCTTTTCGAGTTTGAACTTTCTGTCCATGATTTGGACTCTTTGTTCACTTACTTTAAGGTACATTTCGCCAGTCTTGAAATCTTCAACTTCACGTTGGGTTTTTTCAAGTTCAGTTGAAACTTTGTTGTATGCATCTAAGATTTCATTGTATATTTTCTTAGATTGTAAGATTTCGACCTTTAATTCAGCAAGTGCAGATCCGGAGAATATTTTCTGGTAAGCTTCGAGTTTTTCTTGAAGATCTTCGCTCTCTCGTTTCTTGTTGAGGATTACTGCTGTTTTATCCTTTTGTTCCATATTTTGCATTGTTTTATCTTGTTCTCGAAACTGCAACTCTTGATTTTTCGAATCATTAAGTTGTTTTTCAAGAAGTTCTCTTTGTAATGAGTCGTGTTTAGCTTCTAATTCTCTTACTGATATTTTTAATGTATTGATTTCTTCAATCAATTTCTGTTTTTGATTATCCAATATCTCCTGGTCCTCAGAATCGGAACCTAACACAAGTCTTGTATCTCGACTTCTGTATACAAGATCAGTTGGTAGCCTCTGAGGCTGAATTTTAATAAAGCGAATAGGATTTTTCCCAGGATTCATTGGTGCTGATGATTTATTAGACCCAAGTTTGGTAGGAGGAAGATTCCTTCTCAAAGTTGAGTCACTCATACAATAAAAACTATCAGAAAATTTTAGAAAAAAAAACGATTTTTTCTTCAACATTGAGGTATTGAAGATTCAGACATATGAAGATCATGTCTATTATTTCGCTTTATAAATGGACGAAAATAACGACTTTTTGACGATTGAATTTCTAATGATTTTTGATCAAAGAGATTTGATCGTATAAATCGTTTTAGATATGAACATTCTGCGCAATTCTATAAATGAATTTTTCCAAAATTTTTTTGAAAATAAAAATATGAAATTAAAAATCTAAGAAAAATTATTCAAATTTTGGATTTTCGAGAATTTTTGGAAATTTCAACGAAATTTAAATGGATGAAATTACAATAAAAAAATAATGAAATTAATATTTTGATACAAAAATTCTAAATTCATAAATATTACTATTTTGAATGTCGATATTTTATCAAAATACAAATAATTTATTGATGAATCACCAACTTTCCTTATCTTACATCTAAATGACAACTCATTTTTTCACTCAAACATCATATCAACTTTATTGTCTGAAATCATATTGTTTCTGAAAAACAATTTCAAAAGCGAAGTAACTACGATTTGTTATAATCGATAGTATAGTATTTTTGCTAGGATTTAAAAAAGAATTTTTTTTGATATGTCTTAGTCGAGATTTGATATGTTTATAAAAGAAGCTATTTATTTAATAAATAATTTACTGAGATTGTGAGTTTGGACCTGTCTTGCGCTTAGCATCTGGGTTAACAGCAAGGAAGCGCTGGTTGTAGATCTTGCGCAGACGAGCACGGCCGCGGACTTCCTTTGGCTTATCCATCTTTGGGACCTTTGGTGTGTTAGAACGAACTTTGCCTGCCTGAGCAAGGGAACCGTGGACTTTACCCATGTTTTTAAAGACCAAACCGTTTTTTCTCGCCCAGAATTTTTTTGTCTTTATTTTGGCCATTTCCATTATAATTAACATTTAGAATTTATAAGCAATCTAATGTATTCATTTATTTTAATTTTTATTGTATATGGATTTCGTATCTTTGTAGTATTGGATCAATTCATTTATATTTTCAAATGGTTTGCTGAACGAATAGATTTGCAACAAACGAAATGTCCAATTTAGCGAATTTGATTTTGGCTATTTGGTTCTAAAACTTTTTTCCATTATTACTGAAAGATTTATGCTTTATTAGCTACTTTTTCAAGAATTAAAGAGTTCACAAAATACATCTCAAAGAAATCAGTTTGGTCATCAGACAAATCTTAAATATTTTTATATGTAGTTCTATAAACAATCAAGAAAACCTGGTAAAAGAAATACCAAATTAAAAAAATTTATCGTCCTCAAGCCAATGAAGCCTAAGACAATTACCCAACGTCCCATTAACAGATCTCAATACATCACGCAGCCAGAAAATACTGACAAATATAGGGTAATTGAAAAAATTGGCTCTGGAACTTTCGGAAACATCTACGCTATCGAATATTATGATAGAAGAAGACTGGCATTGAAAAAAGTTTTACAGGATCCAAAATACAAAAACAGAGAACTCACTATGATTCAAGCACTTAGACATCCAAATTGCCTTAAACTTCATCAATACGAGCTTAAACGTGAAGGTGACCAAGAATTTTTATATATTTTCACAGATTTACTCCCAACAGATTTGCATAAATATCTACGAAAGAACAAAATCACAACATCTCTTGCCAAAATATTTGGATATCAATTATTCAATGGACTCGACTATTTACACAAAATAAATATAACACATCGCGATATAAAATCATCAAATATCCTTGTAGACCCAGATACAGGAATTTTGAAAATTTGCGATTTTGGTTCTGCCAAAGAACTTAAAATAAACGAAGCAAGTGTTTCATACATTTCTACCAGATCATATCGCGCCCCTGAGTTACTATACGAATCTCAATTTTACACATCTAAAATTGATGTTTGGGCTGCAGGATGCGTCTTATCAGAGATGTTTAAAGGAGGAGATGAGATATTCCATGCAGATTCAAATCAAAGCCTCAAACAGATTATTCTTAATTTCATTGGTACTCCTACGATAAGTGATTTTCATGATATGAATCTTCAGCTTCAACCACAGTTTTATCATCCAGGAATAGGTATAGAGCATGCATTTAACGAGCCTCTTGATCCATTGCTCTTGGATCTTCTCAAGAAAATATTTGTATACTCACCTGTTCTTAGATATACTGCTGAACAGGCAAAATATCATCCATTCTTTGCTGAAGTTAGGAATGGTACAGCACGATTGCCTAATGGAGCTCTCTTCAGAATGCCAATAGAATAATTTTCATTATATGTTTGTGTTTGCATGCATCTTTAATCTTTATTTGTTCTATGTATTTATTTCAGAATTAATAAAGCATTATCATATTATCTTTTAATTGTTGCATATTTTTTTTAAAACAATATAAACTTATATGACCATAAATCAATAACACATAGATAATACCAGTTGAAAACAATATCTCTATCTGATATTCCAGAAGTTGATATAATTTTATTGATCGTAATATGTTTATTATCAGCTCATCTAGTATTTATGCCTTTTATATCGTATGTTATATGCAAATACTTTATACAAATGGCTCATTGTATCAGATGACTGAATAAGAGAATGAAATGTATTAAAAAGACGAAAGGCTTAATATGACATTTGATATATTTTATGAGAGTGTTATCAGTAAATGCAATATTTATCTATTTGTTCCAAAATATTTTATTTTTCGAATTTATAAGGCTTAAGGGCATTTGACATTGTAGGGCAAGCGATAGTTACGCTCAGAGAATCATACTCCCACTTTATTATAAGAAGATCGAAAAAACAATAGAATTTCCTCTTCATGCTTTTCATAAGATCTAAATCGGACTTCGTGCTATAATAAGCATTGAGATCACAAACAAAAGAGGATTGTTTGATTTCGAAGATTAATATTTAATTTTTTTTGAATATAGTCGTTAAACGATCATCACTTAGGATATAAGTATTAAAAAGGTAAATAAATTAAGATTTCATTGTAGTTCGATTCGTAATAAGCAAAGATTAAGTTATTCGATATAATTATTGTTGAATAAAGATGCATCTCGCTATTTTAAAGGTGCAACAATTACAAGAAGGTGAAATATATCCTGCTTGCATTAGCACTTTGAATTGTTTTTCTTGATATGATTAAACAATATATGTGTTTTCTTGGAAATGAATTTATGGCATCATTAATAACACATTATAGAGGGAGGAGATGCATCCATTTCATAGAGATTTCGAAACATTTATGAGTTAGCCTTCTTTTTATTTTTGAGATGAGATGAAATTTTGAGTCCTTGTGTAAAGCCTGTTGTTTTTATTGCTTTATCTAGATAATGACATACAATACAAACATCATTAAAAAAGCCGATTTAATTCACACAGATAATTGAGTTGATATAAAAAATATTGTATACTAGAGTCAAAATCTCGAGCACAAAAGTGACATTGAATACTTGTAAGTATTGAATTCCCATGTAAACTATTCATTTCTATCGTTTTTTGTAGTCCACATTTCCTCACTCTCGATTTTACTCATAAAAATATTAAAAAATCACTATACAATATATAAAATATATATTTATATGGTTAAAACAATGTTATTTTTGCGAGATTTCATCTGAAATTAAAATTAGGGATTTTTTGAATTTTGAACTAAAATTTGTGATTGGCAAATATTGAATAATCGATTGGAATATGAAAGAAATACTTTAAAATTGAATAGAATGTGCCGATAGAATTTTTCTCACAATTTTAAAAAGTTGTTCAAATCCTATTTTTGATTGAGTTTTTGCAATTGTTATATATCAAGTGACAAGGTAAAAATAAAATTTTTGTTGCACTACTATTTTTGCAACAATTTGTAAATTACGTGCATCCCTTGTATTCCAGTGATCAACATCGAGATTACATATTGTAAGAAATCCTTTTGAAGTAGATCTCTATTTGAATTCAAATTCGGACAGTCTATTTCATGTTGCTTCGTGAGAATGTATATAATTTGCAATGTGAATATTATATAATTGATTCTGTATAAATAAGTAATTATGCATTAGGAAACTGCTCGGCATTGCATGAGATCTAATCTTATAATAATTTTTTAGATATGTTGAAATATGTAATATTTAGCTTCAATATCATTTATTATGGTGTGTCTTTGCTGTTTTTTTGATATTGGATATCAATGACTCTTCTGTGAACGAAAAAATCATATAAATCATTAAATTCTAAACGTAAGCGAAACTCATTCAATTTATTATTAGAATCAAATCTATTTTAAAATTGAGCTATTCGTTAAATCACAAAAGGATACTTTATATTTTTAGTCAAAATTTGTTGATAGGAGCTTATTGGCGCAATCTCATGTTCTTCCTGGAAGCAGCGCACAGACCAGTCAGAAGCGCTCCTTCCAGGACCAGAAAGACTAGAAGGGGGTCCTGACCTTGAGAAAGGACCCCCTTCCAGGTCTTTCTGGGACAATTCGGTTCGCATTGCGAGTGTCTGCTGCTTCTTTTGACCAAAGCAGCAGACACTCGCAATTATATGTTGCGGCAAGTGCATTTGATCATAAATAAAATTATAATCAAATTTTGATCATAAATAAAATCGTTTTAAATTACTTCTTCATTTAAATTATAACAATTATTTTTGGTTTTATATTTTTTTGGATCAAATCCATTTTAATAGAATTTATATACTATTCATCTATTAGTAAACACTACCGTATATTATTTTTTAAGCTATCTTATTTTTTGAAATTTTATTCAAATCTTTGGTCGCAAGAAGAATTGCATGATAAATAAAAACATTTAATCAAAGTCAATTTTATTTTTCATATTCAAATGGACTGAGTGTTAACATTTAACATTTTTTGCTAATGGTTGAAAGTTACAAGCTCTCAATTTTCGTCCCTTTTGTACGTTTATTATAATTGTAGCATATTGTCATCAAGCACGCGACTAACCAGCAAAGACGTGTCCTCTAATTCCGTCCCTAGTTCAAGAATCTGGAACTATTTAAGCAAAAACATTCGATTTCAAAATCAAGCATTCTTTATTCAACGAGTAAAACATTAAAGTATGATTTGTCATACACGGAATAATGACAAGCTCTTAGAGTATGTTTAGTACAGAGTTACTGCCAACTTGAGTTCTTGAATTTGGTAAGTTAGAACAAAAGAAGCCATATGTCGCATCTAAGGACTTGTACTTATCAGAGTATTACTAAATGTTTAAGAATGTTAGTTATTCGTCCCAAACTCGTACGTTTCCACGCGAATCTTGATAATAAATATACTATTTTGGACTTTTTGCAATAAATCTCTTTTTACCACATTAGCATATCTGTGTGTATGCTACTTAACCTCTTTAGAGACCATTAAGATAATGTTTTTTGATACTTTTTCAAGACTATGCCATAAAGTAAACGAATAATTTAGAAAATGATATTAAAAAATTTAATTTTATTATGCTTTTATAAATATTGAGACTTTTTAGGACTATTTTAAAAATGTAAATAGATCAATCATTTTAATATTAGATAAGATAATCTAAAGACGTCAGATGTTTCAATAACTTCAGATCAATGACTAATATGAAATTTAAGATTTGTGTTAATTTAAGAATTAACAATGGAATCTGGTTTAGAAAGATGGAAAGCATAGAGAATCTAAAGGATAAGAGAGATTAAATACAAAATGCTGCATAAAAAGGCAGATCAGTGAGAAGAAATCATGAGGTTAAAAAGGAACATTCAAATTAGAATATAACATTGCATATTACAATATTAATATTAAAGATAATACTGCACATCATTGTGCAGTGATCCATAAATCAATATTAATATCTCATATGATAAAATCTAATATCATATTACAATATTAATATTAAAGATAATACTGCACATCATTGTGCAATTACACTATTTTAAATATTTTCATAAATAATGACTTACAAGTTAAAAAAATGTAGAATTAACTGCATGATCCAATATTGGACCGAATGTATGTTTGAATCTATAACTGAATTCATTAATGACAAAAAAGTGACTCTATAACTGAGTATCTGGCTGACAATATGCCTGAAAGTTTGAATGTGTCTAGGAATATAACTGACAGTTTGAGTGACATTTTGAATGAGGGTTTGGTTGTCAGTATAACTCAAGGTTTGAGAGAGAATATGACTCACAGTTTGACTGACAATATGACTTAGAGTTTGAGTGACAGTATGAACAACAGTTTGGGTGATAGTATGAACTACAGTATGACTGAGAATATGACTGACGGTTTGACAGACACTTTGACTTACGGTTTTAGTTAGAATAAGACTGACAGTTTGAGTGACAATATAACTGACGGTTTGACTGACAATATGACTGTTGATTTGAGTGAGTGTATGATTGAGAGTTTGGGTGACAATATGACTCATAGTTTAAGAGAGTGTATGACTTACGGTTTTAGTGAGAATAAGACTGACAGTTTGGGTGACAATATGACTGTTGATTTGAGTGAGTGTATGACTGACAATTTGAGTGACAATATGACTTCGGTTTGACACACACTATGAATTAGCTTTTTAGTTAGAATAAGACTGACAATTTGAGTGACAATATGACTGACGGTTTGACACACACGATGACTTACGGTTTTAGTTAGAATAAGACTGACAGTTTGAGTGACAATATGACTGTGGTTTGACTGACAATATGACTGTTGATTTGAGTGAGTGTATGATTGAGAGTTTGGGTGACAATATGACTCATAGTTTAAGAGAGTGTATGACTGATGGTTTTAGTGAGAATAAGACTGATAGTTTGACTGACAATATGACTTCGGTTTGACACACACTATGAATTAGCTTTTTAGTTAGGATAAGACTGATAGTTTGACTGACAATATGACTGTTGATTTGAGTGAGTGTATGACTGACCGTTTTAATGACAATATGACTGACGGTTTGAGTGACAATATGAATTACGGTTTTAGTGAGAATAAGACTGATAGTTTGGATGACAATATGACTGTTGATTTGAGTGAGTGTATGACTGACCGTTTTAATGACAATATGACTGACGGTTTGAGTGACAATATGAATTACGGTTTTAGTGAGAATAAGACTGATAGTTTGGATGACAATATGACTGACGGTTTGAGTGAGTGTATGACTGACAATTTGAGTGACAATATGACTTCGGTTTGACACACACTATGAATTAGCTTTTTAGTTAGAATAAGACTGACAATTTGAGTGACAATATGACTGACGGTTTGACACACACTATGAATTAGCTTTTTAGTTAGAATATGACTGACGGTTTGACAGCCTCTATGACTTACGGTTTTATTTAGAATATAACTGAGAGTTTGGGTGACAATATGACTCATAGTTTAAGAGAGTGTATGACTGATGGTTTTAGTGAGAATAAGACTGACAGTTTGGGTGACAATATGACTCATAGTTTAAGAGAGTGTATGACTGATGGTTTTAGTGAGAATAAGACTGACAGTTTGGGTGACAATATGACTGTTGATTTGAGTGAGTGAATGACTGACAGTTTGACTGACAATATGACTGACGGTTTGAGTGAGTGAATGACTGACAGTTTGACTGACAATATGACTGACGGTTTGAGTGAGTGAATGACTGACGATTTGACTGACAATATGACTGACGGTTTTGGTGAGAATAAGACTGATAGTTTGAGTGACAATATGATTGTTGATTTGAGTGAGTGTATGACTTACAGTTTGACTGACAATATGACTGACGGCTTTAATTAGAATATTACTGACAGTTTGAGTGACAATATGACTGTGGTTTGACAGACACTATGAATTAGCTTTTTATTGAGAGTAAGACTGACAGTTTGACTGATAATATGACTGACGGTTTGACCGACAATATGACTGACGGTTTGACAGCCTCTATGACTTACGGTTTTATTTAGAATATGACTGAAAGTTTGGGTGACAATATGACTCATAGTTTAAGAGAGTGTATGACTAATGATTTTAGTGAGAATAAGACTGATAGTTTGAGTGACAACATGACTGACGTTTTGACTGACAATATGAGTGACGGCTTTAGTTAGAATATGACTTAGAGTTTAGCTGACAATTGGCTGACAGTTTGAGTGACAATATGACTGAGAGTTTGACTGACAATATGACTGACGGTTTGAGTGAGTGTATGAATGAGAATATAACTGACGTTTTGACTAACAATATGACTGACGGTTTGACATCGAAATTCATTCATATATATGTATTGATCAATGCAATCACCCTATTTAATATTATTATTTATCAATTAATTTTTCATTACTACATGCTCTCAATTATTATGACATTAATATTTATCAATAAATATTTCATTACTATATGCTCCCACCCAATTTGACATTATTGTTCTTTGACAAATTTTTCTTTATTAAAGACACTCTCACAAATTCATATCAATATATTTTAATTATCACCTATTCCAATCCATTTTCATATTCATATTCTTATTGAGTTAGAATAAATTGAGGATGACTGAGAATCAAATTATAATTAGTGAGAATCAATTGAAGAATACTGAGAGTTAATTAAGGTTGTTTAAGAATAAATTGTGAATAAGTGACAATCAATTGAGGAAGAGTGAGAATCACTTGATTCTTAGCGAGAATCAATTAAGGATGAGTAAGAATCAATTAATAAGTAGTGAGAATCAATTTAGGGTGACTGAGAATCAATTGATTCTTAGTGAGAATCTATTGATAATTAATGCGAATCAATTGATTATTTGTGAGAATCAATTGATCAGTAGTAAGGATCAATTGATTATTTGTGAGAACCAATTGAATATGAGTAAGAGTCAATTGAGGATGAATATGTGTCTATTCTGATATGACTTAGTATCTACTGAGGCTAGATGCTAACATCTTACTTTTATGATCATAATTTTTCAACTCCATTAATATTTATAACAATATTTTGATTACTATTTAAATAATTTTATCAAATGATAATTATTAACATATATTAAGAGTATGTTTAATTTTCAACATACTCTTAAAAATACGAAATTTTAAAAAAAGTGACGATTTTTTAATGCTAAACCATCTTCATCTACCATTAAATGTTTCGGATGATTTGATTTTAATTCAGTTGGGTTCTATTAGATGTAATAGTGTAAATTCTGATTCAATAATTTATCCAGATGGGTATATTTCAAAAATTTTATATTATTCTTCCAATAAACCCTATCAAAAAGAATGGTATACAAATAAAATAACTTATCAAGATGGTAAACCTAAATTCACTGTTTTGGATTCATTATCAAATGCATATGTCGGAGATTCACCATCATATCCTTGGGGACAAATCGTTTCAAAAATCAAAGAATTAAACAGAAATATTAAGAATGTATATAATTTTGGACATAAATTATTTGGATTTGAAAATAAATCTATCATTTGTTATTTGGAGGAACTCAAAGAGCGTTTTATCTCGAATAGCGATGAAGTAAAGTATCTTCAAACATATGAAACAACACCTAAATTTCAGAAATCCGCTGAAGCTTTTACAGAAATGGTAAATATGATTATAAGTGAAAAATATTTGCAAACAGATCTCAGTCAAATTAAAATCAAAATCCATCGTCTAGGGGAACAATATATTCTTAAATTTTTAGAAGCATTTATAATTGCCCGCCCCAAATTTTATGCACAGGTTATAGGTTTCTTACAAAATTTTTCATTTGACCAGGAATTATACTCAAAAGCAGGAATTTCTAAACCATTAATACAAGCAATAATTAATGGCGATAAAAGATATTCGAATATTTTTGCTTTTTCAGGAAAATCGTGTGATTTAACAATCGAAGATTTTATTAATGTTTTAATTTCAGATCAAACAAATCAAAATGGTGAAGAATATTATCAAATACGTATCAGATCTATATTGGATAATAGTAAATATTCTTTCTATGAACTAGCAGTTAAATTTGAATCAATTAATATTTTAAATTCGTGTAATATAGATAATGTTACACCAATCATGAAAGCATTGATAATGTCAAGCCCAAACGAAACAATTTTCAAAATGAATGATAAATTCAATTTGCAGACTTATCAATTTACAAACCAAATCAAGTATGTTTTATCTTTTGCATACAATATCTCAGAGTTATTTTCTACATTTAGAAATCCATTACTCTCTTCGATTGTTTCAACAAATAATATTATATCAGTAATGAATTTGAATGAAAGCAAAGTTATTCGTTTAAAGATTCATTTAATCTTCCATGAGGCCCTAATTCAAAATAATGATTTTATGTACAAGAACTTTAATGTTTTGAATCAAATAAAAAACAATGACCTTCTGGAAATTTTAGCAAAAGCTTGTTTGAAAGCTGACAAAAAAATTCAAGCAGATTTTGAACAAATCATGGGTATTAAATTTACAGCGATCAAACAATTTCATGAATCCATAGAAAAAATTCCAGTTGATCGGTCTCCAATTACAATAGATGGTTGCCATATTTGTTTTGAATGCTCTAAAAATACTGATATTGAAAAACTCAAATCAATGCAATTAATTCTAATAAGCCCTGGTATTCATATCAATGTGTTAACTTATGAACAAACATTGAAGTTTTTGGAACAAATGCCAGCATTTATTCATTTGGGCCTTTCCAATATAAGTTCTGATCGATCTGTAAACTTAAATTATTTTCTACTTCAAAACGAAGATTATTCCCCTTTAAAAATTTCACATTGTATGACAAAATCGTATCCTTTGAATATTCAAAAGTATCAGATACGTTGTGGATGATTACTGTACCAAAAAACATGAAAAACATAAAATTACCCAAAGAGTTTTCAGGGAGGTTAAAATGGTACATTCAAATAACGAAAGTTGATCTCCCAGGACATCCTCTGCAAGATGAAATACAGGAAAAAATAAAGCATGATAATGAGATTGGTGATATCTTAACTTCATATCCCGGGAAATTTTATGTAAATTATAGCACAACGATAAGAAGTGATAGTTTATTCGTCAATGGAAATCCTATAGAATTTCTTATATATATTCCAAGCGAATCAGGAAATTTGGCGTTGGAGTGTAATTTAATTCACTTAGATGCTACTTTTTCATGGCCGAAATATATATTTATTTTTCCTCGTGGTAATTACTATATGCGAGGTTACCCTCTAGGGATATACATAGGGCGCAGCGAATCATCCGCTGCTTATCAACGGTGGCTTACAGCCATGAATATTGAATTTAAATCATTAAACATTATGGAGCACTTTTCAAGAATCAAATGGATGAGCGATTTAGGTACTGGAGTTTTAAAATTTTTGAATACGAATCATTTCCAAAATTATATCTGTATTAGGCACTATCTCGGAACCATGGGCAATAATACTTTACTACATGTTTTTGCTCTGATAGTATTATTATCAAAATCGGCCCAAGATTTTGAGGACAATTACAAATGTTTTGATCCATCGGTTCAGAAAATGTATGCTACAAAGAATATATCAGATGAGCAGCTGGAAAAATGGAAGCAGATATATAAAGATCAAGAGCATTTAGCAGCATACCACCGCATTCCACCTATAAGCACTAATAATAGTGCAGAGGGTAAGCATAGACACATTAACGAACTTGCAAAAAAAGCAAGAAACTTTTCTACTTTCATCAAATTCATTCTGAATGATACTATCATTAGGATTAATGAATCAATTGATCCCATTAATAAGCAAAAACGCGAGAAGAATGACTTGTTAAACGAAAAATGCATACATTGCGGATTCTCCTATAATGATATTAATACTGATAAGAATCCTTGTAAATATTGCAAGGATTTCTTTATGAATAAGAGTCATGTTCCCTCTGCAGGCATACATGTTATGAAAATAGGAGAAAACGTAGGTGAAATCATAGAATTCCCAATCGATAAAAATGTAGGTGATCAGGATGAACTCGTGGATCACAAAGAAAAGAGTTCGCCGATCGAAATATCAAAATACGCAGAATTTATTGATATTGACGATAAAAATAAAGCAGTTTTAGTCGTAAAACTGCTTTATAATCTTGAAACGTTCCAAGATGCCAAAGATTTAATCAATTCTCTGGAGAAACAATCAAAAAATTATGAATCTGCATTACAAAATAAACCAGAAATTTGGTTGGAAAAATACTTGCCTGAATTAATGAAGGAAGTAAAAGATGCGAGAGCTGCTAGAATGAGATTGAAGATAATAAAGAAGTAGAGATGATGGGTGAATAAAAACTTTGTATTAAATTTGTATATAAAAGAATTGTAAAATATAAAAATACAGAAGTGGTTGATAGGAATTTGAAAATTCGTTGGGTGCATATAAGTTTGATAAATATATTTATGAATATTAATGCCAAATTGGGTGGTTGCATATAGTAATGAAAATAAGATTAATAAAAATTAATGTCAAATTAGGTGGATTCGTGATAGAATGCTTCTGTGTATGTGTGGCGTGAGTTAGCATCGGGTGGTTGCGTGATAGAATGCTTCTGTGTATGTGTGGCGTGAGTTAGCATCGGGTGGTTGCGTGATAGAATGCTTCTGTCTATGTGTGGCGTGAGTTAGCATCGGGTGGTTGCGTGATAGAATGCTTCTGTGTATGTGTGGCGTGAGTTAGCATCGGGTGGTTGCGTGATAGAATGCTTCTGTCTATGTGTGGCGTGAGTTAGCATCGGGTGGTTGCGTGATAGAATGCTTCTGTCTATGTATGGCGTGAGTTAGCATCGGGTGGTTTCATCACAAATTTTAACCCATCCAAATCTTATTAATTATTAAAATTCTTTTACAATTTCTGATGTATTTTTTGAAAACATTTCATATGCAATCTTTCTCCTTTTCTTTCCTCAAATCTTCAAATATTAATAACTTTGGATATGAAATTATTTGGCTCTTTTATGAATTTTAAATGTCTTTCTTAATATCAAATAAAAAAAAAAAAAAAAAAAGGTAGTGGGGCTTCCAGGCACTTCGTGCCCTCTAGCCCCAGTCACTTTTCTGTCACTTTTCAGGAAAAAACATTTTTATTATATATATAAAATGAATTTTACAAAACCACCGTTACCCTTCTTTGGAAATAAGAGTAGATGTAAAGATATTCTATTGAGAGAACTTAAGAAACTACCGAATGGTCTAACATTTGTAGATTTGTTCGGTGGAAGTTTCTATATATCTCATTTGTGCCATACTGTATTTCCTGACTCAAAGATTATATGCAATGACTTCGACAACTATATGAACCGTCTCAAACATATACCAGACACAAACAAAATATTGAAAGAGTTAAAAGAAAAGATACCTATAGGTAAGATGGAACGTATACCATTAGATAAGAAAAATACTGTCAGAGAGGTTTTGAAAAAAGCAGAGTATATTGACTGGGATAGTATATCTTCTAGACTATTGTATAGTGGTTCTATAAGAGTTCATGACATTGAAACACTTATGTCAAACGTTTTATATCTTAACTATACAAAGGTTTTCAAAGAGAACATAGAAAAATATACTGAGGGTATAGAGTTTGTGAGATGTCGTTGGACAGAGTTGTATGAAAAATATAAAAACAAGGAAAATGTTTTCTTTATAGTAGACCAGCCGTTCTATAACACATGCGATTTTCAATACCAAGTAGACTGGACTTTGAGAGACTCTTTAGAAACTTTAGACGTTTTACATAACCATCCATGCTTTTACTTTACATCCGATAAAAGTGGTTTGGAAAGTGTTATGAGATGGTTAGAGGACATACATGACTATGAGTTTAGATATGACAAGATAGAATATGAGAGAGGTCCTATAAACCGGAAAAAGTGTCATAACAAAGAAATTTTATTGGTAAGTAAATGTGGTTTGAAATAGGACTACTTGTTTTAGGTTTTTTCCATTGTGTCATTTACTTATTTGACGTGGCAGAAAGATATAGAGAATATGAAGATGAACCAATGCCTGCAAATGTCCAGTATATGTACTCGTAAGAGATATTTTTATCTAATATTAAATGGACGCACAGAACTTAGCGAATGCACAGCAACCTGGACAACCAAACCCAGAGAATATTCCAAATGAAGTTAGAATACAAACTGCAATGGCAAACTATGGTCAAGTGCCAACAGATGTACAAATGCAAACTGCCATGTCAAATGACGCTGCGTTAGGTTTGCCACCATGGTATGCAAATATGAGATGGAAAGAGTTTTATACAAACCCTGAAGTGGGATATAAACAACTCTATGCAGATGACGCGAACACAGGAGTTGACCCAGAGTATGTTTTCTACCAGAGGAGAAATAGAATGTATGAGCTCCAGTTAAAAAATGCTATGGAACTCAGAAGGAAACGTAAGAGACTAGGCGGACATTAGATTTTTACATATAGTAAAATGGGTTTCTTCAGTAGTATTGGAAACTTCTTTCGAAATGTTGGAAGAGGTATATGGAATGGAATAAAATCTGTCGGAAGAGGAATTTGGAACGGAGTCAAAAATATTGGCAAAAGAGTAGGTCAGTTCGTTGGTATTATACCTAAAGACCCTGAACCAGAAGAACAAGCTCCTGTTATACAACAACCTGAACCTGCACCACAGTCTAGTTGGCAACCAAATCCAACACCTCAACCGTATTAAAATTATATTTTTACCGTTCGATAGTAGTTGTATATGAGACTAAGTTCTAAGTAAAACGCATGGTATAATGGAACTATTCTCTTTCTTCCATCTGTTGTAAACCATACTTGAAAGTCTGAAATACTTCCACTTGGTGGTTCATATAGCTTTGTAGGTTTTTCGTAAAAGTCATTTGCCAAGCATAAAAAAGAGTTTTGTGCACCAGAAAATGAAGCATGAACTATAATAGCATCTGAGTCGAAAACATTTTCATATGTTCCATTAGGGTTTTCGACTTCATAAAAGTTCGGGTGTACTGGATATGCTGCAGGCTGATTTAACATCCTCAAAAATCTATACCATGCCAAGTTGTTATATTTTGTAGAAATATAAACGTTTTCTCCAAGGTCTTCTATTCTATTGATTTTAACAGTTGCATTTTTCCTGTCATATAAAATATCGAGATGGTACTCTCCTTCGTCAATGTTAAACTGGTTTGCATATTCGATATAGATATCGTTTATTTTTTCTTGAAAAGCTTGAAGAGTTGTTTCTAAGTTTACAAGCAAATTCACTTGTAAAAGTTTTCCCTGTTCAAATTTCTCATACGTACGTTTTTCTTTGTTATATAGGGTGTCCAAAGGTGCGTTTAGCACAGCGCTCTATATGAGACTATTAAAGGAGATATATGCTGATTATAAATATATAATAAAAAATATGAATATATGTATATGATGAGTATGTTGTATTTTGGCGCCATGCCGGGATATAAAATGAATTTTGAGACAAGAGGCGGTTTCGCGGGAAATTTTGGCGGGATTTTTTTCATTTTTTTAATGAATCATAAAGAAAACATCCTCGCTCTTGCCAAAAAATGCAAAAACTGTAAAAAATCTACGAGACATTGGTAAAATGCTTCGGTATGGATGCTCCTAGCTATTTCACTGTAACGTATCATGTTAGGATGTATCACTTCATGAACAAAAAGGCGCCCATCATAAAAATTGACAAAAAATTGCCGGATCAAAGAAAAATCAAAGCAATTCTTCAAGCGCTAGATGAAGACCCAAGAGCATCACTCAGAAGGATAGAGGAGATGACAAAGATACCAAGTACAACAGTCAGGTATTATCTGCACAATTATTTGAACTACAAACTAGCGTATACACGTTGGGTTCCGCACAACCTTAATTCAGTTCAAAAAAAATCTAGAGTCCAATCTTCGAAAGAGCTCCTCTCTATATTGGGTGCGTATCAATCCAAGAAGTTTCGCTTTTTAGTAACAGGGGACGAGTCTTGGTTTCAATATGCAACAGAAGCCAAAATCATGTGGATCCCGAAGGATGAAAATCCGCAAACATTCCCGAAGAAAAAAATTGACACACCAATGATGATGTTGTCGGTTTTTTGGGGCGTGAATGGCATCATCGCAATTGATATTCTTCAAAAACCTAATACGATGAATGCTCAGTATCTAATTGACAATGTTCTTACTCAAATTATCAATTCTGATGAGTTTGAGAAATCCAAACAACAAAAACAAAAGTTTGCAATTCATTTTGATAATTCAAGAGTTCACAAAAGTCATAAGGTAATGAATTACTTGGTGGAAAACAATGTCAAAGTTGTTCCAAACCCAATTTATTCACCTGATATTGCACCCTCTGACTTTTATTTATTCGGCACGCTAAAAAAGAGAGCTGAAGGACGCGAATTCGCGAGTCCAGATGATCTTGAAAATTTTGTAAGAGAGCAATTTGAGCAATTTTCTCATGATGATTTAAAGCGTGTCTTTCAAGCCTGGATCGATCGCTGCGAACGCGTGATTGAATCCAATGGTGATTATATTTAAATAAACTTTATATATATGTAACTTGTTTATTTCTATTCGCAGTATTCAGGTTTGTGCTAAACACACCTTTGGACACCCTATAGTATCGAACTTCAAAAGCGACCGTAAATGGGAAACCATGTATGGCTTCTGAAATGAATTTCATTCTACGAAAGCCAATAGCTTTTGTGACAGATGGGTCTCTTAGCCATCTTAGTGGGTAGTCAAAACGATAGCCTTCATGCTTTACGGTCTCTGTCTCAAACTTTTGACCGACATTCGTAAAAAGTTCATCTAATGGTTTAGTTGTAGCAACTCTTGAATTTTCTTTTTCTATTGAAAGCATATTTTATCTAGAATAAAAATGTCGAAAGAAACAGCGTCTATGAGAGAAATACAACACAACCGACAACTCATTTTGCAAGCTCTAAATAAGAACACAACAAACTTTTCAAACTATTCTAAGATATCTGAGTCATTGAAAGAAGGAAACTTAAAACTGACGATAAACCCAATGACAGATGAGTTTCTGTTTCAAGACAGTAAGAACCATACTGTCTGTGTAAATCCAACAAAAGGAACTTTAAACGAGAAGCCTATAAAAGAACTTCTTTTGAAAGCAGATGTTGACAACAAAGCTGACAAAGAGTATGTCATTGAAAAAGTTCAAGAAGAACATGACAGAGCAGATGCAACATATGCAACGAAAGAACATACTCATCCTGAACTAGCAGACAAAACATATGTTGACAATAAAATGTCAAGTGAAGTGACAAGAGCTGAC